TAAATTGAATTTTGGAGCATTTCTCCCTGTTCAATTTTTGGAAGAGTGTAAGAAGCACTGGTGATAATTCTTCTTTAAATACTTGGTAGAATTAGTACCTGTGCGTGTTTTGGTGGCATCTGGCTCAGAATTATGCTCATTACAGGGATCATGGGCTGTCTTGTTGGTCTCTGTCATAGAGCCGAGGGTCCTAATGACAAAGGCACCTGGCCAAATTCCCAGCATCCTGATGATTTTACATTGCAACTTGAGCCTTTCAAGGTTGTGGCTGGAAGGAAATGCAACTTCCTGGTTCATAGGCTGAGGTTCCAAAAGTTCTCCTGACTCCGTTTGATGACTAACAGCAAATGTAAATGAGTCAGAAAGAAGTCCATCACATTTCTTGAACAATGCATAAGGATTCAGACACACACATGGAAGAGTTTTGGGAAAATGAAGACTGATCGTTATTTTTTGTTTTCCTTCAAACACTAGAAATATCATTAGACATAAATCCTAAGCACCAGACCAGATTTTTCCATTTCCAGTCTTCCTGCTGGGATGAGTAAATAAGCAGATGGAGTAAAAGGTTTAAAGTGAAACGCAGAGAATGTGACAAAGGAGGCTGTTGACTACAGAATGCTAGGGGAGGATGGGACTGGCTGAAATGAGAGCAAGGAGAGTCTGGGGTAAGGAAGCATTGCCAGAGAGTTGAGAGGAGTCACCATGTCTGACTCGAAGCTCTGCACCTCTGAGGCCATCAGAGGCCAAAGGAGGTGGGGGAGCCGAAAGCAAAAATGCAGAAAGCAGATGTCACATTCATGCTCTGGGAGGTCTGGGGAGCGTAAGACCAAGCTTTTTAAAAATGATTCTGAATTAAGTGGCTTCATGGATTTGGTTTTCACCCATGTGGCCTCACTTTCCTGGAGTATTGCCTCAGGGAGCACCCCAGCATTAGGAGGTAGTTTCCTCAGTGATGGCACTGGGGTTAGCATGAGGCATCTAGCAGATTTAACTGAAAAGAATGGGCCAAGGAGAGGAAGAGAAAATGCTAGATGTCTCATGGGGTTTGGAGGTCTTATTCCTTTGCACTCATGAGACACCCTCGTCAGATCTGCCTGGGGAAATTTTAGGAAAAGTAGGGAAGCTTCAAGTCTCACAGTAAGTGAGACCAACGGGAAAAATAGATCAGGGGATAAACAGAAAGATCTTGTAGCTTTTTATGAATTAGCTTCTTAAGGGAGTCCCTCTTCACTCAGTTTAGTAACATTTCTTTTCCCCATATACAGAAGGGTTTACACTGGTTATAGCACCTAACACTTACCAAGTATGCATTGCCCATTGGCTAAAGTCAAGCTCTCGGTTCCAGTCTATATAACCATTACTCCTACTTAGGTGACAGCTTCTCATCTATTTTCAACTCTGCAGCTACAGGAGGTTCCTAGTCCTTTCTGCTGCTAATGCCACGCCATGCATTGGGTCCACCATCTTGTTCCTCATGCAAATACTACTGCTATTTCCCCCCAGGCTACCTTTGCTGATTGCCTCCATCCTCACTCAGTGTGGATCCCTAAGACCACTTCTCCCTCCACCCTGAGACCTTTGCTTTCTATGCTGCTTGCCGTAACTTAAGGCTCTTTTTCCCACCAGAAGATATCATTAATTTTTTAGTATTACAGTCTCCTCTGTTGGCATATTCCATTAATTAATGGAATTGGATCAGGCTCTCCTTAGAGCTAGGTCAGGGATGCAGGGGTGGTGGTGCTGTATACAGTATGGTGGCAGTCCTGTTCTATAGTCATTTCAGCATCTTGAAGGTCATGTCCATGCAATGAATCTGCCTTGGTGTGTGCAGATATACCCATTATATTAGGGTCTCCTTCTTTATTGCCATATCACTGCCTTCACAGTCATCTTTGTATTTATGATGATAGGCTATGAAGGCTGCCACACTAAAGCTGGAGTCCCTCTTGGTATGTTGTGGAAAGGAGAAAGGTAGAGGAATTAGGAATTCAAATATACATTTTATAGGTTACTTTCTCTGACCAGAATCCTCGAAGGGAGGCATAAATTAAGGAAAAAGCCAAAGAAGAGGGCCTGGACTTCTTATTTAGAACTCTAGAAGTAGGGAATCTTAGGGGCGCCTGGGTGGCTCAGTCGGTTGAGCGTCCAGGTTCGGCTCAGGTCATGATCTCATGGTTCGCGGGTTTGAGCCCCGCGTCGGGCTCTGTGCTGACAGTTAGCTCAGAGCCTGGAGCCTGTCTTTGGATTCTGTGTCTCCTCCTCTCTCTGACCCTCTCCTACTCATGCTGTCTCTCTCTCAAAAATAAATAAAACATTAAAAATTTTAAAAAAAGAAGCAGGGAACCTTATAGGGAATCCTTATTCTGACATGGGATGGCCACATGTGTGTAAAAATGGTAGCTCTGTGTTGCAGAGCTGGGTCAATCAGTCTGACTCTCGGATTTGTATAACATGAAAGTGACGCAGAAGTTGCTTCGGGGCCCAGATAAGGAGGGAGCTGAACTGGAACTGGGCAGGCCTGCCTTCATAGGGATAGACAGGGTGACCTAGTTGCCGAGGTTGCAAAGTAGACTCAAGAGAGGGGCTGGATGAAGGATGTGACTGAAATATAGGGGACAGTGCTGTTACAGGAGGAGCCTCAAGGCCTCGAAGGTGCTGAGCCTGCCAGGGGGATCCTCTGGGTCCTAATAAAGCCAAGAGATGAGCTCACAGGTTCTCCAGCTGTAGATTTCACCAGAGAATGGGGTAGGGGTTTGTTCCAGAGGACACCACTGCATGGGTCCAAGTCCCCCTTCCCCTGCCGGCTGGGGAGAGGCAGGGAGGAGGGAAGGAAGAGCCCCGGCAGGGAATTAATATGTGAATGACTGAATAATTACCTAAAATGAAATGCTCTTAAGATTAGCAACATTAATTTTTCTCTTCCACCCGTGGAGGTATAGGTTAAACTAGATTAAATCAGTTTATTTTCTTGTATTTGAGTAGTCATGTGCAAATCTCTCTCTCTCTCTCTCTCTCTCTCTGTCTCTCTGCCTCTCTCTGTCTCTCTCTCTTTCCACGGTCTTGTTTTTAAATTCTATTTTATCCATTATTATTTATCCTAGACACCTTCACTCTCACATCTTAACCCATTCTACTACACTGCTACATTCTAGGATTCAGCTCCTATGCTTCTATCCTGATAGGTGTCCTGTATCTCTCGCCTCTGCACCAAGTGCTGCAGGTGTTGCTCAGTCCTTCGTTACTCTTCTCGACTCCTGGAATAGCCACCTAACTGCATGCATGCCTCCTACTCTCGTACACCCAGCGTCTGTTCACTTGACCATGGATATATCTGACCGTATCGCTGGTCTCCTTTCTCTAAAATAATTAGATGACTTCTCACTGATTGAAGAAGACATTCAACCTACTCAGGCTGTTCATAACTTGGCCAGAGCCCACATTTCCAACCGTTCTTCCCATTCGCCACCTCACTCTCAGTCTCCATCATGCTCTAAGCTTGCCAGCCCACTTGCTCTTTTCTGAGCACACTTTAGCCTTTCTGTCTCAAGCTCCTGTCTCCTGCTTAAGTGGTAGTTCTTTCCCAAACTTAAACTGTCTCTCTCTTGTTCTGCTCTTATACTTTGTCTCTGCTTCTGCAGTAGAACATAGTCCGTGCCGTAATGTATATGGGTAACTGGCTTCCTTTCTGGATTGAAAGTCCCTGGAAGGCAGGCACTGCATCGTTAATTATCCCATTTGTTACTTAAGTGTGCATCCTTTATTCTACCTGATGATGGCCTGAGTCTAGTAATTAATAAATGCATGCGAGGGTATTTTATAAACAAGGCGCTTTATAAACAGTAATTATTTTCTTATTACTTGTTAAATGGAGTTAAATTTAATTTTAGAAATCTCACCACTCTCTGGGAGAAATAATTTCCCATCACTGAAAATTCTAGAATAACTGATATGACATATCAAGATAACTACAAGCAGATATGTCCGTGGAGAAGAAGGCAGAAGGAATCCTTGAATCTTCTCCTCACGTTGCCGGCATGCTTTAAGACGGCCAGCCTTGTCCAGTTCTCCCTATATAGTTCCCTATGGTCTCTATTCCCCTCATATGAAAATCACAAACGTTACTAGCAATCTCCCCATCGTGGAAGATCAAAGAAGTGGCACAGCGATGAGAAATAGCAGGGTCTGGGGAGCCAGCCCTGGGCACAGGTTGGGCCAGTGCCTGCCTTACATGTGAGGCCAAGCACCCCTGCTGACCCTTGGGCAGTGGACACATTCTGAGTGTGACATGCCTGGCATTTCCTGATACGGGGATTATTTCCATCTCTAGGAAATCCGCAAGTGTTCTCAGAAGCCTTTGGCGCATGTATATTTTAAAAATAAACCTTTATAACTCAACACAAATATCCTAGAAATCCGTATGTCAGCTCTTTTCCTTGAAAACACCTGTAAGTCCTGCATTCACTTTCCTGAAACAGGAAAGGGAAAGGCCACAAAGTAGATCAAATACTCATAAGTAAAAATGCCCTCAAGAAATAACCGTGCAGAAATTGGCACAACCATGTTAAATATCTGCCAAGTTAATTTCTGAGACCCGTGAGAAGTGTGATTGGCTCCATGAAAGGAAAAAGAAAGAGAGGGGGATGGGGAGAGAGAGAGGAGACAGAGGAAGGAATGGAAAGAAAGAAAAAGTAAAACAGGAAAAGAAGGAAGGAGGGAGGGAGGAAAGGAAAGAAAGGGAGGGGGGAAAAGAGAGACACGAACTCCTGGAAGCAATTACCCCTCACTAGGACGGGTATTTGAGGATTTCATTTTCGAGGTGGTAACTCTCCCAATGTAATGATCTAGATCAACCTCTGGAATGTCCCCAATGAGGAGAAATAGCCCAAAGGGGACTGGAGTAAGAAATAAAAGGAAACAGATTTCCCCCAAAATGCTATGTGGAATAGTGCCAACTCTCCCTTCTTCCGGAGCAATGCGATTGTGAAAATCCATCGTACCTGCTATGCTGATGGTGGCCGCAGCCTTTGCAGTGCTAAATTTCTCTCCGTGCTTGTTAGTAGCTATGCATGTGAAGAGTCCTGGCTTAGTGATAAGCAGCTGCAGTCTCGAGTCAATCACACGGTCTTTCACACTTTCCTGAATGGACCCAGAGGAAACCTGGGGGAGTAGAGGGGGAAAAAGCAGATAGAATTAGGTCAGGGATTTCCTAATGTGATGTACCAGGTTGACTTGAAAGAGAAAGCATTAAAATGATGATCAAAAGGCATGGGGTAGATTGCAAAAATAGCCCAAACCTTTGTAGCTCTTCCCTCAGGAAGTAGCATCTCTCTCCATGCACTGAATCTAAATTGGCCTTGTACCTGTTTTAGAACATCAAAAACAGACTTGTAAAATTCTTGCACCCTGTGGCTTACTTTCTTGTTGCTCTTGGAGCCTGTGACCTCCTATGACCAACCCAGAGGTAGCCTCCTTGAGGAAGAGGCACACACGGTCCAGTTATCCCCACTGGCTCAGCTGGGAGCCAAGAACAACCACCAGATATACAAGTGAGGCCATTCTAGATCATAGAATCATAACTAGCCCCCAGTTAGCGTGCCAGTCAAAGGAACTAGATCAGCCAAGATCACGAAATCTGGGCCCAAATAGGCAAAACCACCCAGTCAACCCACATGCTTATGAGCATTATTAAAAGGTTAACCCCTGTTCTGTCCTCCACAAATGCACAACACATGGATGGATGGTTATGAAGAAAAAGGACCATAAAGCAAATTCTGTTTCTGAGGCATGACATACATCCTGTCATACTATTTAAATCAGAAAATCAAATGTCCTCGAAGAGCCAGGATATCAATGCAATATTAACACCTCATTGGCAGGTTAATTAATGTATGTGCTTATTTATTATCATCATTTCAGCTGTGTGGGAAAGACAGCTGACTAGCACTTTCTATGAGGTTGCAGAGTTAGAATTTGTGCCCCAGTTTGATCCCAAAGCCCGTGCTTTTCATTATTATGTTAGAGTGCCTTCCCTAGCACTAGAAGAGAAAAAATGGAGAGTTATTAGAAAACAAGGTGTGTGCAGGGCCTGGGAGATGACTTGGGAAGGAGTCTTTCCCCTGAGGTTGATGAGACTAGCATTATTTTCATGTTCACACCAAAGAAAGTCATCCCTAAACTCCTCCTCAAGGTTGCTGAAAACATTCTTGGTAGGAACAAAGATAAGTTTTAAAGCGGCTGACCTCTCTTCTCCTGGACTTCATTCGGGTGTTGAAATAATTCAGCAAGGAGACAAACAAGTTACAAGGCCCATTGCTGGATTATGGCGAGGCTCCTAAATGCTTTTTCTCCTGTTTCCAGAGGCCTTGCTTGATTCGGTTCGTGACTCACGCACAGCAGGCCTTGTTAGTCAGAATGTGAATTTGTTTTTCTTTCTTCATGGATCGTCCTGACCAACAGTTTGGTATTTTTTTGATGACCTAAAAATAAAAACCACCCCTTGCCCTCCATTTTGGTCTTTTTGCCCCTCGGGTTCAGATTATTACGAGTTTTGACCAAGGTGTGCCTAGGCAAAACCGAGTACTTCATTGAGGTGACTATATCTGGGGATTTACAGTAAGTATGTTATTTTCTGCAAGTCAGGCAGGCATATTGCCCTGAACTTGCTGGATAAACAGCTTTCTGCTCTGTATGTAGAGTTCTCTTTCTGAGACCGTGACCTCAAAAAGAGACAGTCAGACGGGAAACTGTCATAAACAGGCACCTTGGTTCACACCTGAGGTAATGTGTGTAAAAGCTTTTTGAAAGTGGCAAAGTAGTATTGACCTGTGGAATATTTTTATGTATCATTACATCAATACATTAATAATGCTGTTTTGAGAGAATTTATTCGCAGGTATGAATAATCTCATCACTTCAGCGTGACTTGGCCTTAGCATACGAAGGCCTCTGGCTTCGATGGCTCTGTCTCACAAATAGTTCCAGCTTGCTGAGAATACCTCACGGAGCCAGAGGGTATGGCCCAGTAGGGTCCATGTGTAGGGAGTTGGAATAATGTCTGTATGTGCATCATAGAAAAAGGGCTAGGAGCGCCTGGGTAGCCCAGTTGGTTAAGCGTCCAACTCTTGGTTTCGGCTCAGGTCATGATCTTACGGTTTCATGAGTTCAAACCCTGCATCAGGCTCCGTGCTAACAGTGCAGAGCCTGCTTGTGATTCTGTCTCTCCATCTCTCTCTACCCCTCCCTTGCTCTCTCTCTCTCTCAAAATAAACTTTTTTTTTTTTTTTTTTTTTTTTTAAAGAAACAGGGGTAACAGCTTGAGAAAATCTTCCACATTGTTTGTGATGAACATCGCCATAGTTACCTCTTTCAATCTGGCTACTTCAATATTCCAGGCAGTATAGTACAGGTGACACATGTAATTATTTTAACTTACACAGTTAGTAAGATGAGAGGACTCCAAAGCTCATGTACTTCAAACCAAAAAATACTACCTCTTAAAAATACATGTAAAGTATTTTTAAAGCAAGCAATGAATAATTCTTGACTGCTTCAGAGCATGTGGCTTGCCTTTCTCTTGTTCTTTGGTTTAACTGTTCAGGGTTTTAGATTATTGATGTGTTCACAGAGGCAGGGAGGAAAGGAGCCTTCACACCCTTTAGAATAGTCACCGTTCTCAGGAGTGTGTTAGTGAAGTTAGTTCATGGACTTGGAGTTAGTGAAGAACCACAGTTTAAAGTCTGTTTTACTCTGTGCCAGTTAGCTCCTAGCTCTGCATTCAACTTTGTTCAGTCCACCCCAGATAATACAAGGCTCTTGGCTCTTCCCTGTTCTCAGTAGAATTTTCTGGTTGCCACTGATGCATTCAATGCCTGAGATTGCCTCCATTTCCTGTGATTTGTGTCAGCACGAGCAAGATCGTCTCAGTTTCTATTTGGACGTGGGTCGTATCACCACGAATGAAACTTGGCTGTAAGAGCAACCCTCTCTCTGACCATGAGAACCACAGATGTACTTTTGCTTTCTTCCTGGAAGAAAGTCACTATTAGTTTGTTTTATTCCTGTTTTGGAATCAGAGGCAACGGGTCTATTTTGCTTCCTGCTTTTTGTGAATCATATCTTGAATCTGGTGAATTCACATCTTTTTGTGAATCACATCTTGAAGGACTAAGTTGGGGTCTCAGTAGGACCAAAACTAACCCAAACCATTCGACTATTTTTTAATTAGTCATGAACTCCGAGAGAGTCTAGTCCTATATCTTCCAGTTCTGAACTATTATGAGCCTTTGAAAACACTGAATTTTTTCTAAAGCATGTGTCTTTCCATTTTCTTTATTCCTGTTTTCATAGAGGAAGCCAATCAGTAAAGTCCGATCATCAGTTCCCCAGCTTTCTTAGCACGTATTTTTATACTACCTTGAGAGGCCTATGACAACTACAGTGACTTCCACAGAAGAGCCACAAAACGTACTGACAAATAAGATTTGAAATTTATTTTGCTTACTTACTTAATTTAGAGAGTGTGAGCACAAGTTGGGGAGAGGGGCAGAGGGAGAGAGAGAATCTTAAGTAGGCTCCACACTCATTGTAGAGCCCAATGCAGGGCTTGATCCCACGACCCTGGGATCATGACTTGCTAAAGTCGAGTTTGATGCTCAACTGACTGAACGAACCACCCAGGCATCCCAAGATTTGAATTATAAATGACACTTTAATTAAAGAGTTTAATTAGAGAACTTTAATTAGAAGAAGAACAGGAACTACAAGTTACTTGATTGTAACTTAACAAACTTGGAGCACTTCAGCCCTCCTGTCATATCAGGGATCATTTTCTCCAGCCACCTGACACCTCTGTCATTAAAAATATGGGAAAATCCATGTCTGAGAGGTAAGTGGACTTCCCTACAATTACATTAGCTAAAGAGAGCCATTTCAATCTTAAGTCTGCTAACCCCGCACCTATTCTTATTTATGATACCTCATGTAGCAAGTCTATAAAATGACATTAATTCATTTACTGTATTTTGAAGAGACAAGCTAAATTGGTTTGAAACACAAATTATGAGAAAAAGTGGTTTTGTTCAAGTATCAGAAAAGAAAAAACAACCCTTCAGCGAAAACAATAGTGAAAACAAAGTAATAAATGAACTGTAAGCCCTAAAGAGGCTGCTTTTGCAAGATGACATTCTTTATTGGTTCAGCTAGGCTTAGATTTTGGCATCTTTTTCCTAGTGTAGCACACCCACCAGAATTTCACACAGGGGCACGTTTTGCTTCCTACACACTTGTCTCCCTTGCCTTCTTCCCTTCCAGTGTCTAGTGTCCTACTTCTCTTTCCCATCCTCACCTTCTTTTCCTCTCTTTCCTTTTTTTCTCCTCATGTAGAACACTGCTTTGACTTTACAAGGGTGCTGTTAATATTTTGTAATATGACAATGTATGCACACTGCAACCAAGATACCAAAAAGTTGGAGTGAGACGATCCTGGGGGACATGAGTAATGAAAATGGCTGAGCCCCCTTAGAAGACTTATCAGTCTGAGTTGCATAGCTGTAGTGAGAGCCATCCTCACCCCACCCAAGGGACTGGCTTGAAAAAGCACCCCATCTCCTTAAGGCATGACAGAGGGTCTTCAATAGGACCACCTGCAGTATTGATGAATGTCCCCTGCTGTGTAATAAAGGGTTAACTTATTGCACTTGAGGTGCCCGAAGCCTGCACTCAAACTCAGAAAGGACTGGCCTTTGCCTTGCTTCTGAGAGATAACCTCTCCTCCTTTGGAAAATCCTGCCTCATAAGAGTGTCTTTGTGTATCTGAGACCATGAGCTATGCCAGATAGTTTATGTTCAAGTGCAAATGATGGTGAATAGCTCTTTTTGTTCAGCAGAGACTCTAGACTACGCTGTATCAGTTTGACCTTTGGAAGGGCTAGAGACTAGCTAAGGTCAGTCATGTGAACCCTCCATGCTTATGTAACTGACCTTCAGGAAAAACCCTGGACACCAAGGCTGGGTGAACTTCCTTGGTACAAGATGCCGTACTTGTTGATATCACGGCTGGGAGAATTAGGTGCTCTCCATGGGACTCCACTGGGAGAGAACAACTAGTTACCCACTACTGAGTTTAGTCTGTATCCTTTCACTGTGATAAACTGTAACCATAAGGATAATGGCTTTTCTGAGCTCTGTGAGTCCTTCTAGTGAATCATCAAACTTGAGGGTGGTCTTGGGGACCCTGACACACCTGCAATCTGTTGACACAGCCGAGATGTATGTGATAGCCACCTGTAAAATCTAAAGGGCAGAGCCAGGCTGCCTAGCAGCTCCAATGGAAGGAGAAAAGGGAGAGTAGCTTTGTTCAGAGGTCTAGATCCAAGAGTTTGTGAATACAGAGGTTTTATAGAAGATCTGGTGTGGAGTTATTTTCAGTCTTCCCCAAAGATCTTTTGGGGGCATTGACGGGACCCTGACAGAAAGACTTCTCATCAACTAACAAACTGGGGGCTAAGAGGGAGATGGCTGCCCTGAGGAAAATAGGTCATAGGGTCATCTTGAATATCCCTTGATTTCTGAAAAATCATCAGTGTGTCCACGATGGAAAGAATTGTTTTAAACGCTTGTTGGGCACAGTGGGGGTAAAGCCAACTTAAAAGAATGTCAGTTAAATGAGAACTTTTCCACTTCAATTACTGCTCCTCCCTCCTTTCAACCCCAAAGCTATAGGGGTCTTGAGTAGCAGTTAGGAAGTGGGGGAAGAGCGAATGAGTGTGAGAAAAGAAGCTAACCACAGGACTGTTGAGGAAGGCAGGAAGCATGCATGCAGTAGTCCTAAGAAAGGGAGGAAGGTGGGGCATCTTGCGGGCTCAGTCAGTAGAGGATGTGACTCTTGATCGTGGAGTTGTGAGTTCAGGCCCCCCATTGGGTGAAGAGATTACTTAAAAATAAAATCTTAAAAAAGGTGTGCGAGGTGGGAGGAGGGAAAAGTCCCATCTGTGAATTGCATTTGGAAGCTTTGGTTATTACTCAGGGTTAGGTACTTAAAATTACTAAATTGGGATGGTGTTAGTGATTTAAAATCACCTAAAAGCAACCAGAGAAGTCACAGAACCTGCTTGAGGTAAACCTCAGTAGTGAGAAAAGAATCTCCCCTACTGAAGAAACTTAACGGGGAGAGAAAATATTAAATAAAGTTGTATTACATGCAAGTCATGCTTGGCCAACACTTGAGTTACAACGATAATCTCAGCCCCCGTGCTTAACTCTCCATTTTCTACCTGAAACCCAAAAGATAAATAAAATCTAAAATTAGGAAAAATAAATCCAAAGAAGGGTGGAAGGGTATTATAATCAAAGGGCCAGAAATTTTCAGCAATCTCTGGAAGATACAAAGAGATGTGACTGGGTTGGTAGAAAAATTAATATCAACTAAGTTGCTGACACCTTAAAGTTCACTGAGAGGAGAATGGATAAATTTTCCCTATAGAGTCATGGAAAAATCCAGAGTTCAGATAGCAGGGCTATAAGTAGGAGCCGACTTTGAGAGAGTTAGTAAAGTAGCAGAAGAACATTGTGAGCTACTACATGTGCATATAGCACTAGGCTGAGACATCTCAGCCATATATTATATATATTTCACATGTATAAAATATATATATATAATAACTCATATATTATATGAGTCCATATAAGACTTCCTATAGTAGGTTGAAAAAATTATAATTCTGGAAAAATACTTTTAACAAATGTAACAAACTAAGTAGCTTCTATTTTCCCTGACATTTTTCCAACCCAGAAAAATTTGTTTCCTTTGGATGGCCTTGAAGACTGAGGACACAAATCAAAAGTCAGGTTCCGTAAGGGTGAGGAGTGTAACAAGAGATACAATAAACTAACATCTCAAAGAACCAGAGATCAGGGACATACCAACGTGAACTACAAGTGACATAGCCCATACAGAATTGCAGACTGTGTTATGATGATCTGGGATGGCCAAGGAGCTTCAAACCGTGAACTCAGTTTAAGTTGGTCCAGGATAAGTAGTTGCCCCTAGTCCTTAGCCAAAAGGAACAAAAATTCTTTCTGGAGAAAAGTACCTTTATCTAGACCTCACATTTATTCCTGAACTTCGCCCTCCCCGCCCCCAACAATGAACAACAGGTAGTCAAAGATAACTAGGCACACAAGGAAACAATACACAATGAACAAGAGTCAGCAAGAAAACAGATAAGAGAAAGAGACCTAAAATGGCATCCCATCTCACTCAATTAAAAGCCAAAGTTATTTCAATACCCTACATAAGCTTATATGATCTATAATTCTTGCACACACCCCTTACCTCTTTCCTCTTTTCTCACTCACCTCTTGTCATACAGACTAACTTGTTATTCCTCTGATATACCACATGCACCTTTATCTCAGAGACTTTCCCTAGTTTTCTTCCCATACGTATCTACAACCACAGGTAACAGTAGTTATCTTACAGTTATCTCCTCCTTACTTCCTTCAGATCTTAGCTCAAAAGTCTTCATCATTTTAAAAAATTGTATTTATTTTGAGAGGAAGAGAGAGAGAGTGTGGGCTAGCACATGCTTGTATGTGCGTAAATGGGGCAGAGAGAGAGGGAGAGAGAGAATCCCAAGCAGGGATTGATACTGGGCTCAGTCTTATGAACCATGAGAGCATAACCTGAGCTGAAATCAAGAGTTGGACGCTTAGGGGCGCCAGGGTGGCTCAGTCGGTTAAGCATCCGACTTCAGGTCAGTTCATGATCTCACGGTTTGTGGGTTCGAGCCCCACATCAGGCTCTGTGCTGATGGCTCGGCCTGTTTCAGATTCTGTGTCTCCCTCTCTCTCTCTGCCCCTTCCCCACTCATTCTCTGTCTCCCAAAACTGAATAAATGCTAAAAAATTTTTAAAGAAAAGAGTTGGACGCTTAAACTGACTGAGCCCCCCCGGCACCCCTCAATTCTCTACATCTTAATGAGGCTTCCTTGACCACTCTGTTGAAAAAGAAATCTTTCTCATAAGGTTGCACTTCCTGTCTCATTTTCCTCCATAGTATTTGACACGATCTGCATAGATTATTGGCTTTATTTTACTGTTTGTCTTTCCCCATCATAGTGTAAGTTCTTTGAGGGCAGGGAACTTTCCCTGTTTTGTTTGCGCCTGTATCCATAACGTCCAGAATAGTGCCTGACACCCAGGAGACACTCAGTAGATATTTGTAGAATCAATAAATGAATGTGCACATGTAAAGGGCTTAGAACAGAGCCTCGCACATAGTGATCACTTGATATATGTCGGTTATTAGCAGTATGAAAAAATGAATTAAAGATGGTTAAACTGACAGTCATGGGTTTTAATTCTGGATTACTTTTCATCAGAGTATACTCCAGGAGCGAACTAATTCTTTTTTTTTTTTTTTTTTTTTTTTTTACAAATAGTTTATTGTCAAATTAGTTTCCACATAACACCCAGTGCTCATCCCCACAAGTGCCCTCCTCCATGCCCATCCCCCCTCCCCCCCACATCCATCAGTCCTCAGTTTTTGTCAGCATTCAAGAGTCTCTCATGGTTTGCCTCTCTCCCTTTCCCCCACCATTTCCGCCCTTCTTCTCCCCCTTGTTCCTCCGTCAAGTTCCTCCTAATCCTCCTATACGTGCAAACATATGATATTTGTCCTTCTCTGCCTGACTTATTTCGCTCAGCATAACACCCTCAAGGTCCATCCATGTTGCTACACATGGCCAGATTTCATTGTTTCTCATTGCCATGTAGTATTCCATGGTATAGATAAACCACATCTTCTTGATCCATTCATCTGTTGATGGACACTTAGGCTCTTTCCATGTTTTAGCTATTGTGGAGAGTGCTGCTATGAACATTGGGGTACATGTGCTCCTATGCCTCAGCATTTCTGTATCCCTTGGGTAAATTCCTAGCAGTGCTATTGCTGGGTCATAGGGGAGTTCTATTGTTAGTTTCCTGAGGAACCTCCACACTGTTTTCCAGAGGGGCTGTACCAGTTTACATTCCCACCAACAGTGTAGGAGGGTGCCCGTTTCTCCACATCCTCGCCAGCATCTAGAGTTCTCTGATTTGCTCATTTTAGCCAAGGAGTGAACTAATTCTTAAGCTGGTGAGTTTTGTGAAAATTGTTTTACCTGTGTGGGAAGGAATTGCTACCATTTCCCTTTTACACAAAGGCATAAAGGGAAATTTGATCTTCTACTCTTCCCCATGATACAAGGAAAGACACGAACCCATGGAGTTCAATTTCTAGGGCAGCGACTATGAGGATGAAATCCTGGAAGGCTCTGAGACATAGAGGTGCCACTAGGGCTAGTGACAGAGATCAGGGTAACTCTACAAATATGTGGCCCATCGTGAGACTCCTCTCCAGTGAGTCTTCCCCAGACAAGTCCCCATAGTGATGGCACTCACGGCATTTCCGTTTTCAATCCAGGTGATGGTGGGGACAGGGATGCCTGTTGCTGTGCAGCGCAGGGTCACAAAGGAGCCAAATGTGACGTTGTGGGATTCAGGAGCCCGCAGGATTCTGGCAAAAACTGTTAGGAAAACAGAAGTGGTCAGTGGCTCTCCTATAGGGGACACTCAAGCTGGAGTGGTCTTTTAAAAATGCAAATCAAATCATGTGCTCCTGTGTGAAATCCTTCTGTGGTTCCCTCCGTATTAAGCATAATACCGAATGCCATGCCCTGGCTCCTAAGCCACTTACGCTTGAACCCTATGTTTCTCACCACCCCAGGAGACTCCAGGCTTCTTTCTACCTTGGGAGCTTGTCCACGCTTTCCCTTGGCCGCCAGTGCTCATCCCCCAGATCTCCAGGTGGCAGTTTCCTTGTATCATCCAGTCTCTGTTTAAGCGGCATTTCATCAGAAAGGCCTTCCTCGACTGCGCAACATAAAGTATAACCCTTCCCCCACTCCCTTTTTCATCATCCTGTTTCATTGTCTTTACAGACCTCACCACTCTCTGAAGTTATTTTTTATTCATCTAATGTCTATCTCCTCCCTGTCCCCCTTATGCCCAGCAGACTGTGAGCTTTCAGCAACCAAAAACCTAGCCTGTTTGTTCAGTGCCTAGAAGAGTGCTTGACCAAAGTAATAGTAGTTTAAGTAAGTTAATGAAATAATTAATTAATGCTTTATATCTTCAACTGTATCATAGTGGGAGGACAGACAAAATTTGTCAAACTTTTTAGAGAATGAGATGAGGCACATTGGGCCAAAAAGAAGTATTTTGGGCCAAGTGTGAGCAGAACAGGTAATTAATATCCCACTCGGAGATAGAATCCCTCCTGATTAGATAAGAGAAAGTTCAGAGAAGATAGGATTTGACAATTGGATGCTTTTTGCAGATTCTAATTTTACTATTTATTTATTTATTTTAATTTTCAGTGCCTATTTATTTTGAGAGTGAGAGAGAGAGTGTGGCGTGGGAGGGGCAGAGACAAGGAGAGAAAGCGAATCCCAAGCAGGCTCTGCACTGACAGTGCAGACACAGGGCTCGAATTCACAAACTGTGAAATCATGACCTGAGCTGACATCAAGAGTCAGACGCTTCACCAACTAAACCACTCAGGCGGCCCTTGCAGATTCTAATTTGAGATTTGCAGGTTCAGATTTCCTATTTTTTTAAAATTGAGGATGCTAAGAGATGGAATCTCAAAGAATGTGTTAGAAATACAATGTTGGGCCCAAGAGCCAAGAGAAAGGAGAAGCAAGGAAGCCCCCGTCTTAAGGCAAGAGGTGGTTTTAAAAAATGCGCCAAATGTTTAAAATACAGCTGAATTTCCACGCCCAATCCCCGCCAACAAAACTGAGCTGCTTTTCACAAGTCCTGTGGTCTAATTACCAGCCTACAAAAAATGGTGGTTAAGGAACATGTGAAACAACGCTATGGGGATGCAGTTCGTTCAAATTGAGAATATAGATGATTCCACAGGACCAATTATGTAGTTTTCTCAATAAATAAAATGTATTGGGAGGAAAAAAAAAAGAAAGAGGGAGCAATCATTGAGTTAAAAGGGCTCAAGAGGCATAACCCCAGATGCAATGTATGGATCTTACTTCAATTCTTATTCAACAGGCCAGATGTAGAAAGATATTTTGAGACATTTGGATAAAAATTATGCAGTCCTGGTAGTAAATGGTACTGAGAAATTAGTGCTCATTGGGGATGAGTGGAGTAATGAAAATGGTATTATATGTTTTTAAAAAAATCTTTACACTAACCTACATATTAGTTGATTGAATTAATGTCTGGGATTTGCTTTAGAAGAAACCAGCAGTTGGGGCGCCTGGGTGGCTTAGTTGGTTAAGCGTCCGACTTTCGCTTAGGTCATGATCTCGCGGTTCGTGGGTTCGAGCCCCGCGTCGGGCTCTGTGCTGACAGCCAGCTCAGAGCCTGGAGCCTGTTTCAGTCTGTGACTNGTGATACCAAATAAAGGAAACTCTAGAACTTACTCTTAGATGAGTAGTATTTAAAAACAAAGGACGGGTGCCTGAGTTGCTTAGTTGGTTAAGAGTCAGACTTTGGGGGCGCCTGGGTGGCTTAGTCAGTTAAGTGTCCGACTTTCGCTTAGGTCATGATCTCGTGGTTCGTGGGTTCGGGCCCCGCGTCGGGCTCTGTGCTGACTGGCAGCTCAGAGCCTGGAGCCTGTTTCAGTCTGTGACTCCCTCTCTCTCTGACCCTCCCCTGCTCACGCTGTCTCTCTCTCTCTCTCCTAAAAATAAATAAAAAAACATTAAAAAATATATAAAAAAAAAAAAAAGAAGAAACCAGCAGCAATAAAATAGTAGTGGAATCAAGGAACCAAAAATTGTAGGCTATTGATCATTGTTGCTGGTGAGTAATGGAAACATGGGAGTTCACTATATCACTGTAATTACTTTTTTGTAAGGTTGAATAACATTTTTATTTAAAATTATAATTAATTATAATTATATAACATTTTTATATTTTATTTTTTTTTATTTTATTTTTTTATATTTTATTTTTTTATATTTTATTTTATATTTTAATTATAATAACATTTTTAAAAATTGCTGTGGAGCCTACCCCACAGCTCCAGAAAACACGTGATAAGATATCCACTTCTTCTGCCATTGAAATAGCATCGAGTTTTAGAAAACCCCAAACTGAAGAAAAGTAAGACTCTGAGGAGGAAGATTTGGCAGAGGCATAGGTCCTCAGAGCCTCAGAAAGATCTACAACAGTTTCAGTTCAAAATTCAATGAGGGATGATTCTAAATTGAAACAAAATGTGGAACTCAGGGAAAACTTTCCCAAGCAGGTGATATTTACAGGTGAAAAATTCGATGGAAAATGAGTGACAGTAGCCAGCGTGGTTCGCGGGGTTGGCTCCAAGAGTGAGTGGCCTGTATAGTCTCACAGGGCACCATGCTGAGAGGGCACCCCCATGCTTGGTTTGATTTTCTGCTGTCCATGTCTTGGAGTTACTAGCGGTATTTGAATTAAAGGCCCCACATTGTCATTTGCACCTGGCCCACAAATTATGGAGCCAGTCCTAAAATTGCTGCCTTAAAAGAGAGGGTGAAGTCTGTACCTCTATGGAAATTCTAGAAAAGCAAGGCTCCAAGGTGGAATAGGAAATAAAAAGTTACAGAATGAATGAGTCTGAAGGAAGTGTCAATCAAGACTAAAGGCTTGTGCACATTGGAAATTCTCAATTTTCAAGAAAGCCAGCCAGCTAGGAGGCGGTGCACATTTCTTCCAGATATACCAGACTGACCCTCGGTGACCCATGGGATCACCTGATGGGAGATTTCTCCCAGCTCAGTCTTAGCTCACAGGTTGTAAAGTCTTGACAACTGACACAGACTGACTGGCATCCAAGCAAGGGCTCTCCTAAGTATTCTCCCCTTTTCTAATGTTTTCTGCAAACAGTAATGGACACCTAGACTGCACGACACATCTGGGTCCACGTTCATCATTTGGTTGAAGTAACTTGTTGGGGTTGGGGCGATACTTGTGTGTCTTACATTTTTCTGAGTGTGAGACCCATCATCTTATGGGCCCCATTGCCTCTTAGAATCTGAAAAGAAGGAGGATCCTTGAGAGATTGGAGTGGAGTTATTTCAATCCCATAGGTGCTGGGAAGAATGTAGCCAGCAGCTCCTGCAGATAACGCTTTACCCTTGAACCTGAATGAGGGCCTTCTGGCAGAAGAGGAGAATAACAAATTGGAGAAGAATGAAGTCTAGATACTTTTTTCTGCTTTAATTTATAGAGGCAAGAGTTTTCATTTGGGAACTGTAAATTCTTCCTGGAAATGCAGTAATCAGGGAAATTTTTTTCTGTTCTAATGTACAGCTTTTTTTTCTTTTGTGTGGTATAATATTATTCAGAATATCACTTGGGCTCATTGAAAAACCTTTATGATCTATATTGCACAACACAGCTAAGCATAATGTGAGATGGTAAAGAAAATCTATTTTCAATGATCACTTGAGAGCTCAACGCAGTGAATTTCCTTATTCTGTCCCATATCAAAACCTTCTGGGGGGTCCCGTAGGCACAGGATGGTACATAAAGGAGAACTGTTAACATTTGCAGTGGCTTCATGAAGGTATGCCTGTGCTGATAAACTTCTGGTCTTTTCTTCCAAAAGGACAAATATACCCTTGGCTGACCATGGGTTTCATTGTGTGATAAGGAAAACACCTTTTGAAAAATAACAACTTTGTCTTTCTGAGTTGGTATCTCAGCATTTTATAGTACGATAATCCTACTACACCCAGAGTCTAGACATTTAGAGAAGGATTTGAGTTTAGGACATCCATCCTAAGTTCCCACTTTGCTCTGCCTGGGCACCTTTTAAAATAACCACTTAAAGTGAAGCCCAAGAAAAGTTAGTATCCTCCACCCCAATCACCTTATAAGTACAGGTGCTTGGTACTCTGCTCTCTATCTCCTCTGTGACCCGGGTCAGAGATCTGCCCTCGGCTCAGTGCATGCTCCCCAGACCCGTGCTTCTGGGATTTGTAAATAATAAGGCTTGTGATTCTGCTCCCTTTGTGTGGATATGTTGAAACTATGCCTTCGATCAAAATGACCCCATGGGTTTCACTTCCTCAAAGTGGGGGCCGGGAAGCTGAGCCCGCATGGATGGCTTGTGCCCCCTCATTCATCAGATCACAATCTACATGCTTTTAATGGAATATGCCAGCTTCTCAACCGCATTAAGTCCAGTGGGGTAGAAGAAAAAAAAAAAAAAAAAGGCCAGGAATTAAAGGGAAGCTGTTTTCTGCATGCCCACATTCTTGCCAAAAGATAAAATTGGAACTTGCTCCCTTTTTTTCATTACTGAAAGATGGCTTCCACCATTCTGGCCCGTTTCTCTCCCCCAAAGAAGGTCACTGATGTCTCCTTATCAAAATGTGTCTCAACACATCTCCTGACCCTTGTTTGTGTTTCTTCGTGGCACCTTCCACCGTGTCCTAACTATCGATTTGTTTGTTTGTTAGTTGGCTGTCTCTTCCTCTGGAATGTAAGCATCACAAGGCCAGAGCTTGCTTTGCTCAGTAACACAGGCTGATTGATAGGCAGCCCTGTGTGGCATGTGGTAGGCATTCAATAAATATTTGATGAATGAGTGAATGAATAAACGAATGAATGACTCTTCTGATTGGTGAGACTGGAGAAATAGATTTGTCTGTGTTAGGAGCATCTCAGCCCTCTCTGGGCCATCATTCTCCCAGTTGCCCTCAAACAAGAAGGGTATGGGGTTAATGTGCTGTGAGGGTCCCAGGTCAGGGCTTCTCCATCCTACAACTCAGGATGAAATGTTAAACAGTGGGGAAGGGTTGAGGAGGATGAGGAAACAAGTTATGGTGGTCGAATTCTTGGATGAGAAACTAGAAAGTTTTATTTTTCGATCCAGCTTTGTCAGCAATAAAACTGATATTTTAATACCCATCTGCATTTGTTACCCGTTCCAAGCATAAAAGGTGAAGGGTGGATGAAATTCCTCCATATTTATCAAACACTGAAGACAGTAAATCCAGTTACCATTAAAATTAAGTGCCAGACTAACCTCCATGGATAATAATAGACCGGTAATAATAAAATTAGATCGAATTGAGTAATAAGCTCCCATTATTTTAGTGGTAGCCCCAAACCTAAAATGCATTCTAGGTCATCAATTTTAAAAGTGATATGGTATGTTTTATATCGAATAAAATGTCCATTGTATATCCCTAACTTGCATTTTTTTTTGCATGCAAGACCATATTAAAATGTTTTTGTTACATAAACAGACTGCTTAATAGAAGGGGCATAACATTAGGTTAACAACTGTTTTGACATGGATTTTTAACATGATGCCACTCTTCTTTCTGTAAATAGTCTTATGCATCCTTGTCCAATTCACTGTAAGTTCTATCACACTTGCTTTCCTGTGGCAAAAACATTATTGTTTGCCTGCATCATGGGAAATACACATGGGCAATCTAATTATCCCTGGGTTTTTTCTCATGGGATTTATGAGTTTTGGGCTTTGATTTCTCTTGGATAAGTTTACAGCGCTAACTAAAGGTTGAGAATCCTACATCCAAATTGGGCTTAAGCAGGCAGCGCGTCCAAAGTCCTTTATAACATAGCTATATTATATTCTCACTTTCACCCATCCCTCCTTCTTTCCTTCCCCCCACCCCGTCTCTTTCCATTTTCTAAAGCACTTTCAGAAACATAATAAATCTTATTATTGATCGTCATTTTAAGGGGTAATTTGAATTTGTAATAAGGAGATGGAGCTATTATTCAGTCTGAAATTGCATGGTGGTGCAATGGAAAGGCTAGGGCAGAGGACCCAAATTAAGTCCTGAAATTAATGAGCAGTTCAGTTTGAGATGAATTACTTCTCTTTTCTTGTTAAGGGAGTATGACCAGAGAAATACTTAGGTCCCTTATAAATTCTTTTTCAGAGCAATTATCTTAAAAGGACACAATGAGCTCACATGGATTTTATTTTCTCTCATTTTTTCCTTTATTTATTTTATCCTGGTGTCCCTTAAAGAGATTTTTTTTAGGCTTCTCAGTTCTAACCAGCAATGACTGATGGAGGGAAGTTGAATGCAAGCAAAAGCAAAAATTAAAATCATTCAGGAGCTGGTGAAATGATTGTATCTAAATTTTGTTGTAAGCAGCCTGATGTTGAGAAATAGAAAAGCATCTCAAATACTTTATTTGAAATACTAAAGGAGGTGCCATTTCAAATAATACCAGCCCAAGGTTTATTCCTAAAGCCAAACTGTATTGCATGAGAACTTGCGAATCTTATCCAAAAAGAAACATAAAAGTTTAGGTTAGAACAGCACAAAGTTTGAAACTTCATCTGGATGGAAGGTGCTTTCTTGGAAGAAAAACTCTTATTTGATAGTAGAGTTTTCCCCCAAACAAATTTGATTTCCCACTTTCCTCCAAACATTTCCACTAAATATATGTATATGTCTGTGTACAGTTAAAATTAATTTAAATTTGATTGGTTTGGTTTGGGACATTTGCATAATACTTGTCCTCTTGAAGTAATAACAGTAAAAATCTAAGCTGGCATCTTGACATTTTTACATCTCTTCAAAAATTGTAACACCCTTCCCTGCCCTCTCTCCACCCCAAACCCCCGCCAAAAAGCTTTTTCCTATTCCAATCTGTGTGAGATTTATATTCTCATGCTGATTTATGTCATTTTGTTTCCATGTTCAGAGTTGCCTTAATAAAAGTAAATTGTTGATAAATACATTATAAAATAAAGCAGCATATCTCATAACCCTCTGTTAAATGCTGACAGTATTCCCCGTGAATCATTTGTTATTTCCTTAAAAAAAAATAACGGTACTTAAAATTGTTTATAAGGTCAGCAAAAATAAATAATTGAATAGAACCATACATTGAAAAAGAAGCAGTGCAGAAAGAAAAAAAAAATACCTTTAGTATCTTGTTCAGGTTCACTTTCTTCTATTAATAGAAACAAGACAAACACACACAATAAACACACAAACAAAAATAACACATCATGAAAAGGGAAAATCTTTGACCACAGAAACATCAGTTGTGCAACTAGATTAATTAGAATCTGCTTGTTTCTTATTTCAATAAGAAACATGCAATCAAGGGAAACTGCTGACCTTTACAAGCAAACTATTAAAGGACATGAAATTTCAAATTGCTACTTTTAGTCGTAGGGCAGTACTACACAGAAAATAAACTCCAGCACACCCAACAGCATAGCTCATTCATGCATTTTTGTTTTAATGTTGACAATTACCCTTTCTTTCAAGGCAACAGACTGCCTACTATTCTGATAAATTGTGTTTTCCCTTTGTTAGCATGGCTTCTCCTTTTACAAGGCCCTGCTGTGAAGGCAGTGAGGTTGACTCTGGGATCTCAACTATCATTTCTATGGCAATAGGCTCATGTTGTGGTAAACAGAGGATTAGGGGGTTTCTGAAGAACAGAGTCTACCACCAGCCGAGAGTCTCCTTGTACCAACTCCCGGGAGGCTGCTCAGAGAGCAGAGAGGAGCAAACATTATCTTGTGTAGGAAACTACGAGTGGAGCAAGCGACAAAGAGAAACGTAAAAATGCCTGCCATCGGGATGCGGAATTGAGAATTTACGGTGGTTTTAAATCCTAGAAAAGAGACAACCAAATCAATTGTTCCAAAACGTTTAACCTAATACTGTATCAGGTATAGATCCCATGAGGAGCTTTACTTTTCTTTCCTGAGAAGTTTGTGTCAATTTAGACCTTTCTTTCAGATTAGCGACAAGCCAGTTGCAACATTTGTTTATAAGTTTAAAATAGCAATAGTTTCAATGATAAGAATACATTTGCATAGTTTTTCACAAGTTATGGATATTTTCAGATACATTAGACATTATCTCCTTTACCCTGATCATATCCCTGTGATTAAACCTGATGATATTATTCAGCCCACTTTCTAGACAAGGAATCTGAAACTTAGGGCTTTGCTGCAGGTACAGAGCCAGAAATGCCACTCCAGTTTTCAGACATCAAGTTCTCTGTTCTAACGTAGCATCATAGTAAGAAGCCCTCGTTTTTTGCACTTAATACCCAATCCTAAATTTAAATGAACTTATAATTTCCCATTTAGATTTTACTCTGACTGAACATTCCCTGTCTTCACCAACTAGGTCAGTGGCACATTCCTGTCTTATTTTTTCAAAGTCAAAGTTTACTTAAAAGTTGTAAATTGAGGGGCGTCGGGATGAACGTCTGACTTCCGCTCAGGTCATAATTTCATGGTTTGTGAGTCTGAGCCTGTATCGGGCTCACACACACACACACACACACACACACACACACACAGCTGTAAATTGAATACATTTATGGTTAAAAGGAGAGTTAGAGGTTTTCTGTCAAATGAACCTAAACAAAGAAAATTGTTTTTTACAACACCCCCAACAGTGCCTGGTATTAGACACCAGTTTTTTCATACCGAAAACTGGTCACGTGGGCCCTTGGAACTGCAGAGATCCCCTGTTTCTAACATAGACATTAATCAGGAAAAATCAGTGAAGGTCCTTGCTTGGGCCAGATTAGACCTGAAAAATTGTGTCCGAATGCCTCTGGGCTAAGTGTGTTCTCTTAGCTTCTCAGGGCAGTTGTGCTTATCTCTAAATCTCGTTTTGGTTTTCCACCAGCCAGGTGACTGTAAGTGGCTGAGATGGGTATGGACTCCTATGGGCATGTTAAGTGTCCTCACTCCCTGGCTGCTAGGATCTCCAAAATGTTTTCCACCAAACTTCAAAGGCCTCAGTAAACTTTGAGAATCTTATTCATTCATCTTTTTTTTTTTTTTTTCCTCCTCTTACACTCTTCTTTCTTAGGCTCTGGAGCAAGGGCAGGTAAATTCTGCCTCCTTTCAGTTTTTCTCCAGTGATCTCTTACTGAACTGTACTTCAGCGGAGACCATGGGGACCGTGCTGACTTCCCTTTGCCATCTCTCACTTTGTAGTCGCTGCCTTCGTCTCTCTTGATTTGTTTGCAGTTGGGAGCGCTGTGAAGTTTCGAAAGAATGTACCCATTTCTTCCACTGTGGATCTGCAGAAGCAATTCAGGAGACGAAAGATTGTCTAGGATCTGCTGTTTTCCTAGGAGGAGGCTTAGCAGTTTTACCAGAAATGACATGTTCATAGAGAGACCCTCCAAGTTTCTCTCTGTGCACAAGAGCGGATATACAGCTCTATACGCATATATTTATATGCGCAGAAATATTCATACGCACATGTACCACATTCACACGCGCGCACACACACTTGAGATTGCTTTAAATTAGAGACAATGTGCAAGGACAATCTGCCAAACCTATCTAAGCTTGAGCACACTCACTCGGTATATGAGATTATTGGTCATTTCAAGGTCTGACTGTAGTCCTAGTTTGAACATGTATCTTGCTTGCTTAGCCTATGATCCTTCTTGACCTCTGAACTTACTGTTTTACCACCTGTCGATTTGTAAATATTCAGTTTCATGGTCTTTATTCTCATTTAGCTGCTTTATGTGTAATGCATCAGCCTTGTCTTCCAAACTGATGTGGAATTTCCTTTCGAAGGCGGAGGCAGGGGGCAGCATGGTATACTTATGTTATTTTCTTTTCCCCCTAAAATTTAGCACAGTGTCTTATAGAAAAGAAAATGCTTTAAAAAAGGAGCTGGGCAGTGATTCATTTTCCTTCTCTGCTTTCTTAGAATTGTTCATTAAGACATTAAAATAGAGAATCAGAGACTTTTCTTATTGGAATAAACTCAGGCATAATCAACATTCAAGTTAAATAGTGTATCCATCATTTTCTTGAATACTTTGATTTATGGGCAACTCAGTACTACCATAGCAACTCATTTAAAATACTCTGTTAGAAAAAGAATATATTCTAAATCAAACCAAAATCAGTCTCTTTCTAATAACCACCCACAAGACTTAGTTTCTACTTCTATCCACTGGACAAAAAAAAAAAAAAAAATCCATCAAATATTTTCATTTTGCCAAACTTGCTAGCCCCAGGTCCCTATGTAAATTGCTCACTTTTGAACTTTCTTATCATACCTTGTTAATTTACCCCTTTGTGGTACCCAGAGCAGAAATGAACATACACTTTAAAAGTGTGTTACAAATTCAGAGAATAGTAGGACTCTTTATAATATGCTACTTCTATGACTATAAATTTGCTTGGGTTTTTATTTGCATTTGTATAAAAATACAGCTAGGTCATATTCCATTGCAAATCATGAATATCCAACACTAAGAAAGGTAAATTTTTCCTATCTGATCACTGTATTACTTGATTGGAGAAGAAATTTGGCGGGGAAATGTATTATTAGATAGGAAGAAAGAAAGCCATCAAGATTCCCTTGCATAAATGAACACATTTAGTAAGATGATGTAGGTCACATAGACCTTGTGGAAGAAAGAAATGGACCAGAGGAAAAAACAGGCAGTACGGTGGGGTGGGCTCCCATTCTTCAGACTGCAAGAGTGAGGAGAGCCAGGAAGATCATAGGATTTTGGTCACCTAGGGCTGGAAGCTACGATAGTACATTCTTTGCTCTTTGTAGGATGGCACTAGTTACCATTTTCTTCCTAGGAAATACCTTAAAGAAATCTCTGACCATCTGGTAATGTCAGGACACCATTTTAGGGCTTTTTCATGAAAAAAAAATTTTTTTTTAATATTATTTATTTTTTGAGAGAGACAGAACTTGAGCAGGGGAGGGGCAGAGAGAAAGGGAGACACAGAATCTGAAGCAGACAGCAGGCTCTGAGCTGTCAGCACAGAGCCCAACACAGGGCTGGAGCTCTTGAAACATGAGATCGTGACCTGAGCCAACATTGGACCTTAACCGACTGAGCCACCCAGGCGCCCCAGGCTTTTTCCCTTTTAAGTGAAATGATTTGCGCAAAGCAGTTAATATAGCAACTATCACACAACTGCAAAGTACTGGAAGCTCATTTTGAAGCCAGGTCTTCTGGCTTGCTCTTTTCTTTTATTTATTTTTTTCAGAGCTATTTCCATCTCTGTATTATCTTCCTGGCTGGTGACGGCCTCCAAAGAAAAAGCATTTATTTTATTTTCTTTTTAAATTTCAGTCTGCCTTAGTGAGCTACATTCCAGATACTTACTGCTTCAAGTAGGCATTAAAAGCATATGCTGAAATTTATCCCTCACTGATCTGAGAAGAGAGGAATCATTCTGGAGAAGGAGAAATCATTCTTCAGACCTTATTATTAAAACCTGGACGCGAATCCGCACTAGATTTTTGAGTCTGTTCTTAAATCGGCTACGTGTGTCTCCTGTAGCATTGTATTTTAGTAGATGTTGTGTTGGAGATGCCTGGTAGAAGGCAAGCACCACAAACAGCTTAAGGGTTTCTTTTTTACTGAAACAGAATTGGCCCAGGGGATTGTTGAAAAGTAATCCTATTAAGGCTCTGTGGTACTCTGTTTATGAATAGAGTCTTCTTTTGGTTTCCAATCATTCAAAGAACATGTGACAGTAATAACAATAAACCTAAGTAAATACCTGTTTTCTTTTTCTGACTTCTTGGTAGCTGAAGGAAAGAAACCCGACCCTGGTGTGCTGCGGCTGTTTACATTTCTGTCTCCTTTGAAGCCCAGCATGCGTGAGGGTTCTCCACTCTGGCTGTGTCTCCAGAGGAATCAGGACACAGCTTCTTTAGAAAACACACACAGCGCCCTCCCAAACAGCCTTCCTCTGCATCTTCAAAGTAAGGTCGGCCTGGCTCTGTGACATCATGATTCTCTAAAGTGGCTTGGGCTAGGAACATTTCTGTGGCCTTTGGGATAATAACATTTTCCGAGCTTGTAAATATGGATGGTGAATAATGACTCTGAGCAAGAAGTGTTTATCGAAGTCAATCAGATAAGAGCCACACGAAGTTAACTTGTTTTTGCTTCGGCCCTAGATGTAGATAGAG